ACGTTGCTAACCCTGCAGCTTTTGTGACAGGCCTTTCTTAAAAAGTAGTCGTTCTTGGAATTCGCGCACGCTATTTCGGTTGGCGCATTCTAGAAACGAGATGACTGGAAGTAAACTGCGTTTCCACGGATCGGTTTGAGGAAGATGCTGATTAGATCCCTACCATGTGCGCTGTCTGGTATTGTGGACAGAAGGAAGTTTTCAATTTACAAAGATCCACGACACGCTATGACTCCGAGTGTTTAATTAACAGTTAGTTTTAGCACTAAAAGGTCCACCTTAATGCAAAGTTATCTGAGGCAGATCACAGCTTCTGGTATGTTGTAGCTGCTTAATTATATTTATCGAACGTTGGCGGTATCTAAATAAACTAGAGTGAAACTAAAAGTAAACTACCAAATTACATAATAATCGAAAAAAATAATCGTAACACTAAAGGGAAGCAAAACTAATAAAACTAAAGGAAACCGCAGGACTAGGGGGGAGAGGTAGCTAAGTTGGTCGACCAACTTTATTGTTACCATCTAGTCTGATTTGTACGGCGGATCACACCTTCTGGTATAGAGAAGCTATTTACTTATAGTTATCGAACGTTGGCGGTATCTAACTAAACTACATTACAAATTACATAATAATCGAAAAACTAATCGAAACACTAAAATGAAGCAAAACTAATGAAACTAACGGAAACCACAGGACTAGGGGGAAGGGATAGCTACGGTGGTCGACCAATTTTATTATTATTACCATCTAGTCTGAATGCTGAACGCGATGCGTACGTGGTAAGCCGCCCTAACTAACTGTTAAATTTCGTTCGTAGCGGAAGTAGCTTCATCAGTTGGGCGCGCGGTGGTAGTCACCCCTTGGTCGGCTAAGGAGTACCATTATCGCAGTTTCAGGGAATTAAACTCCCGCGTCTACCACTCCGGCATAGCTTCTAGACTTTTTCTGGTAGTGTTGTTGCAAGACGAAGCTTCACGCCGCTGATCACCGTATCGTATTTAGGGGATACTCTGTTTAATGAGTTGTAGTGCTGCCGTAGCCGATGGAATTATCCTAGCGAACGCGACGGGCATCCTTGCAGACTTGTCAGGGCATGTTAAGGACGCAGCAATTCCCTAAAGCTAATGAACCCGCGCCACTTGGGTGGTCGGTGGGTCGGAGCGGAGGACGGCGGTTGGTGACTTACATTAATTGTGTTATGTCTGTGCTTTCGGTTCCCGCACACGCCTATCAAGTTACGGCACCGTTTAGTATTTTTTGCTCACTTCCGGCAGCTCTCACAGTACGGCAGCACTTCTGCCTCCCTTGCGCATCCTCTAGCCAGAGGAGGTCCTTATTAAAAAATAATTCAAAGGCTTCCGCTCCTGACTGGGAGGTCAGTTACTCCGTAGCGCAAACCACTAATTGGGTGAAATTATAAGGATGCTACGTCCTCCGGCGAGTAGGTCGCGGTGTTGCGTAGATGTTTACTGCAGACGTGTGAAATTAGATCTCGTCACCAATCCAGCCTGCATTGAATGCATAAAGACGCAAAGTACTACTTTTAAGTTAAAATAGTTGATTCAAACTAGAGGGAAGGTAAACTTCCAGTGATCTCAGATCGTTTTCGCCCACGTGGTTGACAGAAAAAGCAGTTAGAGGAATTATAGATCCGTGCCTGTCGACAATTTGTGGTTCATTAACATTTATCCGCCATAACCCAACTATAAATCTAGATGGCTTACAAGTCCAAATCAGATAACTGTTACAAGGGGGGAGGGAGTTAGCAGATTTAAATAATTCAGTTGACCCAATTGTGAAAAATTCGTGGCTTCAGTGGGATTTGAACCCACACAGCCAACGCTCTAGCATTGAGCTACGAAGGCGCGCCAAAGCCTTGAATTTAATCAGACTTGGGTCGATTCAACCGACCAGCCTACTGATCGTGTGGAATCCACCATTACGGATACAGTAAGCTGACTGCCCAAACAGGATTTCCTAAGTAGTCATGCAAGAATCCACCAGAAAGACTACTAAGCTCACTTAATTATTAGGTTGTGCAAAAGTCTTCCCCGCAGTGTATGTTCGAATCCCACCGAGGTCGCAAAATATTCAGATAATTGTATCTTTTTAGTGAATCGGACGCTCTTCCCGTGAAGCTATGGGCTAGCTGACGTGTTATTTCTGTTGAGTAGTATCACATAGCATGCATTTTCACTCTGCCGTTCGTCCTTCTTTTTATTCAATATGTCTGCATTGCTTTTCGTTACGCCACTGACTACAAAGAATCTGGAAAAGGATTCGAAAAAGTAATAGAATTTCATTTATCTTGCAGCGAGACTTTAAAGATCTCACTTCTTTATCCATTAAGATTGATGATCGTAACTGACAGTTTAGCATGCCCAGAGCATCAACTATTCATAATTTGGATCGAATAAAAAGCCAGGCTTGACCATTCCAGTCTCTTTTCCGTACTCCTTATAACTCTGTTAGCTCTCATAGTGCACGTTTAAGTGTTCAGTAAAACTATTATGAGTGAGTGTCAATATACCCTGACCTAAACCGGCTAGACAAGGAGGTCTTGGCTCAATGGTTAGGGCACCTGTCTCTAATCAAAAAGGTCGCGAGTTCGGGGCTCGAATGGGACACCATTTGAGTCTGGGTATGAATATCTGACGACGGCTAATGAGCCAGATATGGCCATTCCAGTTTCCCTTGTCTTTGCCGGCAATACTATCTGCTTACATCTAGCTTTTACGGCTGTCGGGGACTCTGTTGAGGCCCAAGATGGAGCTGTACAGGTGAGTTCCGTTAGTAATCAGATGAGCGTTCGTCAATGAGTGAAGACTATTATTATTCACAGACTTTATCTACAAACTGGGAAGTCCCAACTACGCCCGCCGAAGATTTAATTG